CTCCACCCGTGCCCTTTACTGCTTCCTGTACATTGGGGGCAGCAGGTGGCATGGCAGTTACACTGCTGGACTCCCACGTGGCCAACCGTGATTTAAGTCCTTGGCCGAGGGGCCTAAAACACACTGGGCACATGTGCATGGGATTGCAGTGTGACCACCCTCCCTATGGAGTGATTTCTCAAGTTCCCCTCTCACTGTCTTTGTCTCTGTCTCTCAGTGTCTCTCTCTTCCCGGAGAGTGCATGTGCCCTAAGGCAAAAACCTCTTAAAATTTTTTCCCGTTTATAATAACTTGTTAAGCATAAGGAAGTGTTTCCCTGAGTCCTGTAAGCAAATTAATTAAACTGGAAGAGGGGAGGAGTTCGTGGGAACCTCAACTTGCAGTCAGCTTCTCAGCTCTGGAAGCCTGGACTTAAGACTCTGTGTAAAGGTGTGTGTGTGTGTGTCTGTCAAAGGATGGAGGGAGGGCAGTCTTGGGAACCGAGCACTCAACCTATGGGATCGGTGCTTCCTTCAGGTAGTGTCAGGACTAGGTTGGACCAGAAGACACCCGGCCGGTGTCCAGTGTAGAACTGATAGCTTGTGGCTGGTGAGAGACATCCCTGCACATTTTGGGGTCACAAAAGTCATCTGTTAGGAGAGAGCTGAAGGCCACTGCACTTTTCCACACTCGGGTTCCTCCTGCCCTTTTCCCACACTCTCTTCATTCACTTCACTCCAGCCACACTGGCCTTCTCTCCAGTCTCGGCCCAGGACTCACGGGCTCAGGCCAGCGTGCCAGGCTGTGGTAGGGCCCACACTAGCCCCCACTGTTTCTCAAGCATGCCAGGCCTGTTCCAACAGCTGGTCACTGCACGTGATGAGAGGCACTGTCCCTGCTTAGCTGAGCAGCTGCCCCCTCCGCCCGCCGCTGCCTCCAGATACCTGCTCAAGTGCACTTCAGAGAGGCTGCCCCAACACCCCCCCGACACGGTGCGTCACCTGCTCCCGCTGCCTGCTCTCTATCACCCACACCAAGTTCAGGCTCTCTGGAGCACTTATCGCCACCTGACAATATAATCATTACTGTCTTGTAGTAGTATACCAGTTTAGGAGGGGAGCTCCAAGGAGAAGAGATTACGGTGTCTGTCTGCTCACAGGTTACGTGCTCCTGCCACATGCTAGATGCTATCAGGCAAGTGACATCTTTCTTTGCCTTGGGCCACTTCCTGTCCTCAGATGCTCAGCATCTTTTTGTCTTAAGAGGCCTTGCATACAACATTTCTTCCACTGGACTGCAGAACTTGTGAAGAAACAAGACAAGAACTTTACAACCTGTTTCGGCCTTTCTGGTTCCAGTCCTGGGTGGCCTGCTACACTTCATTTCCTGTCGCCAGATGTCCATAAGCTCAACTTCCATAAGCTTAACTTCACCCTCCTTGGAATGAGTCTCTGCCCACTACGACTATATGAACCTTAACTGCTTATTTTTCTCCTGATGCTACTAGCTGCATGAGCTAAGTGCTATGCCCTTCCTTTCGAGGGAGCTGCCTATCAGATACACCTCTGCACACAGGCGTTCTACCAACCACCTGGCAGCAGGGCTGCTGTGGCATTTCCTCCACACGAACCTACTCGGTTCCACATTTAGCTGCTAGAGCCTATGGTGCCGGACAAGGTGTCCAAACCCGCCACTCTCACACACTCCCAAACACCCACCCCAGGTACAGTGAAGCTCTCAGCTGCTAAGGAAAGCCGGCCTGCTACCATTGGGCCATTGGAAAGTCACGGCTTTAAAAATGTTCTTCAGAGGCCATGTGTCTATAGAAAGAACACAGATCGATCAACGCTATATTGCCCATTTTGTTCAATAACCTTTTGCCATCTTGCAGTGAGCTTCAAAATTCCTTGTTTATAAAAGGACTTGTCCTTATTGGCTAAAAACTGAACAAGAGGCTGACTTAGCCTCACCTGAACTGAACATTATACACGCAAGGAGTTTTGAGGAAAGCAAAACAAGCGGAAGTCTGATGGCGCCAAGTCAGGAGAGTATGATGGGTACGGCCACACATCTCATCCAAGCGACAGTCATTTTTCTAAAGAATTATTTATGTGATCTTATTTATTATTATTGTTATTTTAAAATTTCCTACAGGGCGTATGTGCTCATGAGAGAGAGAGAGAAAGTGAGAAAGCAAGCCACCAGGTCTGGGACTCAGACCGCAGTTGGCCACGTGGGAGTCCAGGGCCTTCACCACATCACCTGCCACCCCCCAAGCTCCAGTAACTTCTGACAGGTGATCAGACTTGTGCGTAGTCTCATGCTGTTGTGATGGAACACAACTCCTTTAGGATCAACAAACCCTGGACACTTCTGGAAGACGGATTCATTCAAACTGATTGGTTCCTTGGTGGGAGTTCAAAAGCACAGTATCTCTAAAATCCCACCACACTGAAAGCATAACCTTCCTCTGATGAATGTCTGCTTTCAATGTCATTTCAGGCAAGTCACTATGTCAGGACCAAGACCATCTGCACATCACATCGTTATAAATGATCCACGCCTCATCGGTGGTTTTAAAAAGGATCATTTTTCTCATATTTAGTGAGCACATCACGATGTTTATATAGGCCATCAGATGAACTTCGAGTACATGAGGAGCCCAAAGATTGAGCTGGCTGGCATATCCCAGCTTCTTCGGGTGGCTGCAAACACTTAACAATGGACGGGCAACATTTCTGTAATCTCTACTGCTGTGTAACATGGGTGGGACCTGATCAATGTCTTTATTTTGGCATCATCAACCTTGGTGGGTTTCCGTGAGCAAGGAGCATCACTGAGATCAAAACCACCAGCATGACGTCTGGTGAAGCACCGCTGGCACTGCCGTCCGTGTAGAGCACTGTGACGGTAAACTTCTCACAAGCTTGATGCACACTCTTCCCTTTACAGAAGTGAGACAGTAAAGTGAGGCAAAAACGCAGAGTTTGGTCCTCCATTTTTTAACTTGTAAAATCTCTAAAACTCAACCAAATTGCTTTTTTTTTTTTTTTTTTTTTTAGAATGAAGCTAGAACTGTCAGCTGTCAAATGACACAGCGATAGCACAGATGTGAAGGACTCTCGCACATCCAAAAATGAACTAGCACCATCTGCTGCAAAAATGCGAACAACCCAATAGAATCAAAGATTTACAGGCTGAAGGAAACAAAGGAGGCCTGGGATCCGGACTTAAGGAGGTGGAAAGAGACAAATCAATAGGTAACATCAAATGGCTGCTAAGGGTAGCTGGTGATAAAGCAAAAACTGGCCAAGAGCCAGAAGGTAGCCTGGTGGTTAAGGGAGCTGGATCCCACATGGCCAACTGAGCAGCTTGAACAATGGGGTCTTGAAAAACACACCAGTCACCTGTATTTGTGTGCCCCAAATCCCAAGAGGAATGTGGAGGAGAAGAGACTGCAGTGCGGTCACCCCCCAGGGGGTCACTTCTCACTCCTCACCCCCCACCCTGCCTGTTTCTGGTGAGCCCATGCACCCTATAGCAAATTAAATACACAGACACACTAGGCGCACGTACACGCACACCCAGTCTTGGCAAGATGGAGAAATGGAAAAACCGGGATTGTTGCACAACCACATTCCATTGGGGGTGCTTTTGTTCTCTCCCTCTCTGTCTTTCTGACAATCACACATGTCCTCTGCCAATTTTTTTAAAAAGATAATGGTAGTCGTGACATGAATATCAATTAGAAACTTACGGGCAAGTCCAATGTACATAACCATTACACCATCTGCTGGTCCCTTAAACTGAGGTTTTTAAATAACATTTAAGGGGCCCAGCAGGTGGCACTGGACTCCCACATGACTGACCATGGTTCAAGTCCTGGCAGCTTGCTTTCTCACTTTCCTCCTCTCTCTTTCTCTCTGTCTCTCTCTGGTGAGCACACGTGCCCTATAGCAAATGAAATATTATGATAATAATAATAATAATAATAATAAAATAACGTTTAAGGATAAATTGAATAGATACATTTCATTTGGTAAGTCAAATGAAAAAAGTAAACTGTAGGGCCAGTAGGTGGCATGGTAGTTAAGGCGTTGGACTTCCATGTGGCCAACTACAGTTGGAGTTCCAGACCCAGCAGCTTGAAAATCATGCCAGATACATATGTGTGCATGGTCAAAACCCCAAGAAACTAGAGGAGAGGGACTACAACATGGCTGTTCCCACTGCGAGGTGATTCCTCACTCTCTCCTATGTCTGTCTCTTCGGCAAGCATATACCTTATAGCAAAAACTAAAAAGTAAAACGCAAACTATAAAAGGGTGTAAATCACATCTAGTACAATCATAATTTTGTGTTTGTATGTATACTTCATACTTAAATACTCATGTGCACACAAACACACACACATTATTTAGAAAAAACGATTAGAATATACCAAAAATACTGAGTCTGAATGGGAAGATAATTATGTTTTTGAATACTTTTCCCCAATACTTCTCATATTTCTGTAAAAAGCACATTTTCATTGATTTTTTTGTTTAAGAGAGATTTTTGCTATAGAGCATGTTCATTCAACAGAGAGACAGAAAGCGAGAAATCACTCCCGGGGAGATGGCCACATGGCAGGCAATCCCTTCACCATTCTCCTCTCAGGATTTTGGGCACACATGCGCATATGCCCAGCATGAGTTTAAAGCTGCCAGGGCCAGGACTTAAACCCCAGTTCACATCATGGGAGCCCAGTGACATAACTATTACACTACCTGCTGGTACCCACATTTTCATTTTAAAACTCAAAAAAAAAAAAAAAAGATAAACACAAGTGAGCCAAGAGGTCGCATGGTGGTTGAGGTGCTGGACTGCCACATGGCTGACTGCAGTTCGAGTCCCAGACCCGAGGGTTTATCTCACTCTCCCTCTTTGGTGCCCTATACCAAATTTAAAAATAGTAAATAAAATTAAATAATTCTAAAAAAATAAAAGAAATCAAGAATAATAACCCAAGTAGCACTTGCCTTCTTTCTTTTTCTAGAAGAATTCCTTGTGGGGTCAGGTTTCTCAAATTCTGCTGACTCTGCCTCTCCCTTCTCTTCCTCCTCTTCGGGTATTAGAGAGTATTTGGTCCCTCCTGGTTGCATGAAACAGTCTTTGGCAAAGTGGCCTGCAGAAAGGAAGTCAGAAAGTAAAGAGTAAGGAAGCAGTCTCTCTTCAAAGCAGGTGGACCTCCCCTGGCCCCTGAAAGGAAGCTAGCTGGTTTGGGAGCTGTTACTGAGTTCATTCAGAGCAGCTGTTTGAGTCATAGCAGACTTTTTGTCACCTCAAGACGGCACTGCTACTCAGTCAAAGCCAGACGAGCAGCTGGTCTCACAACTGTGGTGCTGGTGCTGCTCTGGAGGTGGCAGAGGACAAGAGGATGCAGCAGTGGGCTCGCTAATGCGCAGAACTTACTCCTGACCAGGGAAGGCTGCTCCAGGGAAGAGGGTGCTGGAGATCACAGACAGCAGCAGGGTTAAAACTCATCCCTGGTCTCACACTTCCCTGTCTTTCTGTTAAACCAAAACTAACCACCTTTGGCCTGACCTTTATAACTGGGACAAATTCCACCTCTCCTTATTCTTCCCAGCCTTATATAATGCCTGGTGGTCACAAGATGAAGATACGGGACACCACCCACCCCGGCCCGTTAACTAATGCTATGCTCACACAGCTAGTTGGGGTTTTTCGGTTGTTGTTTTTTAATTTGCTACAGGTATAACTTGCCAGAGAGAGGGAGAGGGAAAGAATGAGAAAGCACTCCCACTGGGGGATGGCCATGCTGCAACCCTCCTCCACTGCCCTCTCAGGATTTTGGGCACACATGCACACACACACAGTGAGATTTTCTTTTCTTTTTTTGGGGGAGAGGTTTTTGCTATAAGGTGCGTGTGCTCAACTCAAAGACAGAGACAGAGAGAAATCACCCCCCAGGGGGGATGGCCACGCCGCAATCCCTTTTCCTCCATTCTCCTCTTGGGATCTTGGGCACGCTCACACAAGCACCTGGTGTGAGTTTAAGCCACTGGGTCCAAGACTCGAACCACGGTCGACTACATGGGAGTCCAGCGACATAGCCATTACGTCATCTGCTGGTCCCCACCCAGTGAGATTTTCAAGACTCCAGGTCTGGGATTCAAACTGCCAAGTTGTCACCTGGGATCCAGCTGTCTTAACCACCCACCACTGGCTGGCCCCACAGCTCGTGTTACCTACTCCTGCAGGCCTTGTCTCAGGGCACAGATAAATCTGTATGAGAACATAAAAAAGCTACATGAGAAGAGGATTCCTCATGGCTCCTGCAAACTAGTCATTTCAGGGGACAGGAGAAATGAAGATTTTCTACTCATAATTCAGCCTCCAGCAAACAAAGCTAGCGTGATTGAACTTCAAGAATTCAAAAGAAACACACCATCCATCAGATGACAAGAAATCACCGCAGGACCACAAGAAATATGGGAAAGCAAGAAAATACCTCTCCTCCAAGGGAAAAGAATAACTCCTCTTCATCCATAAGCAGTTTAATGCAAATCATGGAAATGTCTGATAAAGAATTTAGAGTATTCATAATGGCGAAGCTAACTGAGATGGAAGAGAAGAGACAATGAACTGCTAAAGAGGAAGGAGAAAGAAGTTGACGAGTTCCAGGAGGTGAGGAAACTCTTGCAAGATCTAAAAGAGGAATTACACGCTTTACAAAAAAGTCAAACAGAACTGTTAGAAATGAAGTTTACAACACAGGAAGTCAAAATCTCCCTTGAAAGTATTAAAAGCAGACTAGATCATACAGAAAATAGAATCTCAGATGTTGAAGAGAAAATGGCTGGCCTAGAAAAATCCACCACGAAGACTGAGAAAATGGCACAGAAAATTTAGAATAATATACGAGAAGTACTAGATACCCTCAAACGTCCAAACATCCGGATAATTGGCATTCCAGAAGGTGAAGAGACAGATAAGGGCTTTGATAATCTACTCCATGAAATCCTGCAAGAAAACTTTCCAAACCTAGAGAGGCATTCAAAGATCAAGTCCCAAGAAATACAAAAGACCCCAAATAGAATCAACCCAAGAAGATCTTCTTCAAGACACATTATAGCCGGGTTGACCAAAACCACAGA